TGTCCCCAGTGCATCCCCAGCCATCCCTGCCATGTCCCCAGCAGTGTTCCTGGCCATCCCCACGATGTCCCTGCCATGTCCCCGCTGCATCCCTCCTGCGTCCTCGTCTGACCCCTCCCACATCCCTCCCCAGCTTTCTGTGCCATGTCCCCACCGCATCCCCAGCCGTCCCCTCTGCCGCAGGTGGCCGTCGTCCCCCAGCAGCCGGTGCTCTTCTCCCGCTCGCTCCACGCCAACATCGCCTACGGACCGGGGAGCTGGAGCCGGGCAGAGGTGACGGTGGCAGCCCGCCGGGCGGGTGCCCACACCTTCATCACCCGCCTGCCCCTGGGCTATGACACAGGTAGGAGGTGTGTCCCCCTTCTCCGTCGCCACCCCCGTGTCCCCGTGTCCCCATCCTGAGCCCCGTCTCGCGCAGAGGTGGGAGAGCTGGGGGGGCAGCTTTCCGGGGGACAGCGGCAGGCGGTGGCCATCGCTCGTGCCCTGGTGAGGGACCCCGTTGTCCTCGTCCTCGATGAGCCCACCAGCGCCCTGGACAGCGAGAGCCGGCTGCAGGTAGGAGGTGACAGCCATGTCCCCTCAGTCCCCCTGTCCGGCAGCACCCTGGTTGCTGCGAGTCCCCCTGGGTCCCCTCCTTCCGTCAGCCCCTGGGTCCCTGGTCCCGGTGTTCCCCGGGTCCCTGGTCCCGGTGTTCCCCAGGTCCCTGGCATGTGGGTTCCCTTGGCTGCCAGTCCTGGTGTGCCCTTGGGCCCTGGTCCCCATGTCCCCTGGGTCTCTCTCCCAGCAGCCCCCTGGTCCTGGGGGGGTCCCCGCTCCCCATGTCCCCTATGTCCCCACACCCGGGGGGTCCCCACTGACGATGCCACCCGCCGCAGGTGGAGCAGGAGATCTTCGGAGCCGCAGGGGCCGGGCGCGCGGTGCTGCTGGTGACAGGGCAGGTGGCCCTGGCCATGCGGGCGCAGCGGGTGGCCGTGCTGGAGGGGGGGCGACTGCACGAGCTGCAGTCCCCCAAGGAGCTCCTGCGCCCCGGCAGCCGCTACTGGTGCCTGCTGCAGGGCGGGGGGCAAGGGGGGACAGCGGGGGACGGGGACACAGGGAAGGAGGGGGACGGACGGCAGGAGCTGGGGATGGGGACACCAAGGGGTGGGGACAGTGGGAGCCAGGACAGGGATACTGGGGACAGGGAGGGGGACAGTGGGAGCCAGGACGGGGACGCTAAGAGATGGGATGGGGACACCAAGAGCAGGGATGGGGACACCACAAACCAGGATAGGGACAGTGAGAACAGGGATGGGGACGCCAAAAGCTGTGACAAGCGACCATGACAGCTGTGACAGGGAGCACGGGTGCCAGGCTGGGCACACTACTATATCCCTGCTGTGTGACGGTCACTGGGGTGCCACCGGGTGCCAGCATGGCTGATGACCAGCAGAGGTGGCCGGAGGACACAGAGGTTGAAATAAATCCTTCTGTTTGTACCCAGAATGTGTTGGGCGACCCTGGAGCTGTGGAAGGGGGGTGGGGGGTGGAAAGGGCTGCAGGCATGGGGGGTGCA